CAGTGCTCGGGGGGGTCCCGGCCGAGGTCTCGGCAAGTTGGGGGGCAGGGGGGGCCGCAGGCGCTGTACTCCAGCCCCCGGTCACACTGCAAGGCTGGGGAGGGGGTGTCAGGCAGGGCAGGGCAGGGGGACCCTGACCCACAGCCATGGGGTGCTGCTCCTTGCCCCTGGATCCCAGCCCCATGGGATGGGGATGGGGATTGGGATGGGGATGGGAAGGGGATGAGGATGAGGATGGGGATTGGAATGGGGATGGGGATGGGATGAGATGGGGATTGGGATTGGGATTGGGATGCGGATGGGGATGGGGATTGGGATTGGCATTGGGATGGGAAGGGGATGAGGATGGAGATGGGGATGGGATGGGGATTGGGATTGGGATTGGGATGCGGATGGGGATGGGGATTGGGATTGGCATTGGGATGGGAAGGGGATGAGGATGGAGATGGGATGGGATGGGGATGCGATGGGATGGGATGGGATGGGAAGGGAAGGGGATAAGGATGGAGATGGGGATGGGATGGGGACAGGCACAGAGATGGCGACTCACGGCACAGCTCCTGGCTCCTCCAGCGGATGTGGATAAGGGGATGAGGATGGAGATGGGGATGGGGATTGGGATTGGGATTGGGATTGGGATGGGGATTGGGATGCGATGTGATGGGATTGGGATGGGAAGGGGATGAGGATGGAGATGGGATGGGATGGGGATGCGATGGGATGGGATGGGAAGGGAAGGGGATAAGGATGGAGATGGGGATGGGATGGGGACAGGCACAGAGATGGCGACTCACGGCACAGCTCCTGGCTCCTCCAGCGGATGTGGATGCCGCGCCGGCCACATTCCTCGGCGTAGGTGGCGATGGCCGTGCAGAGGCACTCGCAGTCCCCCCCGGAGTCACAGCTGGGGGCAGAGCGCGGCGGGCGGGGGTGGTGGGACCCCTGCCATACTCGGGACCCCCCCGCCCGCCGCCGGCGCTGCCCCTTACCCGCAGGCATCGAAGATGCACCAGTCGTAGAAGCGCTGGGACGGCACCGCGTCGTGGCACGGGGCGAAGAGCCGCTGCTGGAGGACGCTGCAGCGCCTGCGCGCCCACGTCGCCCGGTGGGGACTCTCCTGGGGGGGCCGGTGGCACCGTCAGATGCCATCCCTCGGTGGGCACCGGGGCTCGCCCCCTCGTCTGCCCCCCGCCACCCCATCCCCGTCCGTACGGTGCAGGGGTGCTGCGCCTCGGCGCCGTCCACCTCGGGGCAGAGGAGGCTGAGGCGCCAGGAGTTGCCGAAGAGGTCGGGGGTGGGCTCCAGGACCCCTTGGCGGCTGGTGAAATCGTTCTCGGCGTCGCCGTCGAAGTTGCCGCAGAGCCCGGCCACGCGGCCCCGGTGCCGCGGCTCCAGCCGGACGTACACCCGCGTGCCTGGGAACGGCACGGCACGGCGCTTGGCACCCGTGGCCACCGTGGCCACCAGGACCCCCCCCTCCCTGCCTCTGATGGGTCTCACCTCCATCCCAGAGCACCGCCAGCCCCAGGCGGGAGAGGAGGAGGAGGAAGAGGCCGGCGCGCTCCAGCGTCAGCCCGGTCCCACTGTAGACTTTGGGG